ACCCGATGCTACTACTGCTCCCACAACACGGCTACGACTACCACGACAACAACTACTACTACTACTACTACTGCTGCCGCTGCTGCTACTACTACTGCTACTACCTACTACCTACTACCTACTACCTCCTACCTGTTACCTACTACCTACTACCTAGTACCTACTACTTACTGCTACTACTACTACTACTGCTACTACTACCACTACTACTACGACGACGACGACAACGACGACGACGGTCACTACTACTGTTGCCACTGCACACATTACTGTTCTTTCTTTGTTGATTCTTGTTTGTTTTGTTTTTGATCCTCGTCTGTCAATTGTTTTTGTTATTACGTCACCAGATTTTGTTTTTTTGTTGATCCTTATTAATTTTTCTTTTGATCTCATTGCTTTATTATTACTTTGATCCTTATTTATTTTTTTTGATCCTTCACCCTATGGATGTTCCCTTGATTGTTAGTGGTGTGGAGCCTCTTCAGTGCAGGGTGCTGCCATTTGCGGGATGTCATCTATTGGACATGTTGTCCCATAAGAAGGTTCCCTTATAATGTCCAAGGGGGTTCTACATGTGTCTACTGTATAGCATATAGTTTGTTCATGTTTGTTCATGATTTCTGTTGTTATCATGTTTGACATTTAATTATTGGTTCACGTTGGTTATTAGTCTCCTTCCTATTACATATACTACTTGCTCAATGCCAACATGATAAGAAGGATTGTTACTGTTCATATCATATTATTTGATTGTGTTTTAGTTCATTCAACAATTAGATAATATACATATTATATTTATATATACATAGAAAAACATACAGAGGAGCAACTTGAGACCATAGGGCTGAGACCCCGTCATGTACTGATGCTGCTAACAAAGCCTGCTACCCACACAAGCAGACATGTTATGAGTGTGTATTTATTATGAATGGTTTTGAATGCTTTTGTTTTGTTTACGAGTAGATTAAGAATAGATTAAGAGCATGTTTAGAGTAGATAAGATATGTCGCGAGTAGATTAAGATTCACAGGATTTCACAGGGTTTGATCAGGATGACCCTCAAGGTTTTGTGTGAAACATATTATGGTATTTGTTTGTTTTGTGCGTTGTTACATTGTTATTATTTCCTGAGTTGTTCTTTCCTGTTGCCTGTTCTTACCTCTTGAATGTCATTATCAACGAATACAGTTTTTGTTGTTGCACCTGATTTATGTTTACAACCTCCTGTTTCCATGTTATGTAGCCAGTGAAATAGATGTATATATATAAGCCTTTCTCTCTTCTCTTCGTTGATCGCTAAATCTTCATAAATTTTCTCACTCCCAGACTTGACCAGGAGACGAGCAGGGAGAAACAGCTTGGAGTTCTGCTTGTGGCTTGGACGTTCGTTGTGTTTCGGGTGAGGTGCAGAAACGACGACACCATCAGGACCAATCCAAGAGATCACCAGCGGGCCGCCGCCTACCTTGCGCTACTTGTTGTTTCGGCCGGTCCTGGTAGGCTTGGGAGGAATTTCAGTGCTTGTTTGATTCAGTATGTGACATGTCAGATCTAGACCCAAGACGTGGCATTCCGAGTCGCTTTCGGGAGCTAGTTAGTTCTTCGGCGAAGGTGGCACACGTCCGAGCCTCCGCTCTCCATTCCTCCGAGCGACCAGATCGGAAAGAACACATACCCAGGAAGAGTGGATCACCAGTCACCTTTTTTGTAAAAGTATGGGGATTTCCCCGCTTATGGGATGAACAGGTTGGACAGTTCGATGATGGGAAGCCCCATGTTTCAAGTGGGATCTGCGGCTCAGGGCTCCTGAGAAAACGGCCCAGTCGTCAGTGACGTCGCACGACGTCACGGAAGCGATGGGTGGGTAGCAGCGTGTTGGGCCTCGCTTCTTCGCGAGGCCACCGATGTTCTGCTGGACACCTCCACGAATGATGGCCTCAACCTGATTCCCTTCAACTTCTACGCGGCGCATTCCCAGGACGACCAGACGAGACGACCTGGGCGATGGGGCGGAGGGTTGGGGGGGGGGGGGGGGGGGGGGTGGGGGGGGGGGTGGGGGGGCGAAGAGGTGGATGAGATGGGGAGAATGCGACTTCCCCTGAGCTGGGTTAGAGTTCTGGCAACTTCAGGGAATTCAGAGACAATATAGATCAATATGATCAAAGATCATTGGAAGTGGGAATTTTGGGGCATCTTAAGAAATCTCAAGAAGTTGAAGCCAATCTTTAGCACTTTTTAGGAATAAGTGGCCAAAAGCTTTGCCTCGTCAACGCTTATGCTTAAGCGATTCCATGAACATCTCGTCCATTTCAGCAAGCCGAAGACCCCCCGGTGGCCCCATGTGTTGCTGTACATCCACGACATCCGACCTGCAGAAGTCTGCTCTGAGCAAAACTGGATCTTCTGAGGATTTTGTGAGCTGGTGAAAGTGCAGAGTTGGCTTCTATGGGTGGCAGCTGTTCTTTTTTCTGCGCTGTATCAAAGACGAGAGTGGTGGTCCATGTGTGGAAGCTTCAAAGAGATTGTCGTGTTGTCATGCGTGGTCGCTGTGCTTGTTCTATCTTGTTCTGGGCCTCTCATGTAATGCCGACTTGATATCTCACCATTGGGCGGCTAGAGCCATGCATGCTCCATATCCCTGGGATGGCGGATGGTCCCATGTTTTTTCAGTAAGAAGCATCAATGAGCTGCAGCTATCTACAATGACAATGACTCGACTTGACTCACTAAAATATTTATATAAAGAAACTGTACAAATCACACGCATACATCAACAGAATGAAGGTAATAGACAAAGACCACCCACTGCAGCATGTCAACAGCAATAGCAGCAGCAACAACAATAACAAACAATAAACAGCAAACAACAGCGAGCAAGCACAAGCAAACGCCCGCCATCGATCGCAATTCGCCCTGGTGTGCAGGACCACAAGGGCGTGGCATTGATCAGTGAGTTCTGTGGTTGCTCCTCCGTTCTCACAGGCCTGGGTTTCCACCCCGCGTATCCGCGAATTGGGCGTACCCGTGCGATACGTGGGACTGAACCCCACGCCGTGTGCATTCAGATGGTATATGGAACTGAGGAAAGCCATTCGAATGACTCAGAATGGCCAACAAGTGAAGGGCATTGGACGGTTTTTGTTGGGCGACGTACCAAAGAGATAGCGAATGACCGTTTGGGACCTGCCGCGACGGTACGGTTTGGTGATGTTTGGGGTGTTTTCTTATTAGACTTGTGAGTTACATGAACTGAGACCCACAAAACCGATGCAGGGATGCCTAGTCATGGGCCGTCGTGACCAACCCAGGTGCAGCCGGACTGATCATCGGTGACCGGTTGCTGGTGACCGTTGCTAGTAACCACCGGTGACCAGTGGGTGACCGGGGCTGACTGAGGCGCCTTCAAAATCAACCCGTGGAACACCTCGGGTGTGGCTTGGTGCAGAAAGCGAACGGACAAGTTAGGTGGAGTTGAGATCTTGAAGTTCTGAAGCGCCACGAGTTTTTGCTGTGTTTGCACTCTGCCTTCCTCCAAAAAAGGAATCCACCTAGGGAATTCAAGCACTTGCAGCAAAAGATTTGGCCAATGCTTGCCATGTCAGCACAAGACCCTGCCACACCTCACCTGTCGCCCACTTCGACCCTGTTTACCCCTTGCTTTTAAGCAATGGAACACCACATGTTACCATATGTTTTTGGCACGACCCATTCACTTTTGTTCATCCACCGGACGTTCCCGGTCCGGGTCGGGCCTTTCTTGGCACGACCCCCAGGTGCTCTCGGCGCTGGACGAGGCCATCAGTATCTCCAAGGAGGACCAGGCGGAGAGGTTTCTCAAGGCACGATGCGACCGACGGACGCGGAGAGGTTCTGAAACGGTGCGGGTGGGGACCGGAGCTGGGTGTGGAGGTTGGGAAGGAGGACATGCAAGCGCAGAAGGGCAATCCCCTTTTTGAGGGCACAAGCAACATCGAGCTTAATTACAGCAGCAGTAAATAGGGAAATGGTGCATTTGAAAAGGAGTCAGTTGGGGTTTGGTGATGTGACTGACCTTCAACCCACAGAGTTCGGATGAGAAGGATGACAGGCTTCGATTCCATCGACCCTCAGAGAGAGGCCCTCCGTTAAGTCAAGTCTCCTCCACGGAGACGTCTTCTGACAAATTCTGACAAGGCATACATTGCACACCTTGCCATAAATACAGTATGCAGGAGTAGGACAGAAGATAGGCAGGAAACACTTCTTTTTGCAACTAGAAGGCAGTCACTTCGAATCACTTCTCACCGTTATTCATACCTTTGTTTCAAAATGTAAATTTGAGCGGCGCCGTAAGGTTTCACAGGAGACCCGCAGTTCTCCTCGCAGGATCATTCCTATGTCTCCTCGCAGACGCTGGTCCAGTCGCATGCCTGCAACGAGTGGGGCCAGACCGGGACAGGGTCTGGATCATCGGTCACACGGCGAATGGGAGATGTACAGACCTGGCAGAGCCACATGTGGATGATGGATGATGCCTTCCCAAATCTCAAGCCATGGCAAATCTAAAACGATGTGGATCTTGTATGATTCATACAGTGCCACCCACTGTCCCACTGTCCGAGCCGCTCTTCCTTCTACCAGGCGGCCGCCCGGGTCGTTCGGTCGCACTCTGCTCGCACCACGAGAGACTCCGCTGCTCTCGACCTCGGCTTAGGTGGGTGCACAAGAATCTCTCGGAGTTGAAGGTCACGCGGAACAGCAACCTCATGGCACACCGCAGCTCCATGACAGGCGTCGCTTCCAACAGGGGGGAGGGACACCACAAGGACGGTTGGTCGGACGGAGGGACGGTTTAGCACGGATCCGTTTTGTAGAGCCGGGTTCCGTGTGGTACGGAAGTGTCCTTTGGATTCAAGATCAAAAGGTTACTCAAAGTGACTGGCTGACACAGTTCGCCTCAAGAACCCCCAACATGCAATAACTATATGTATCTATGTCGTTTGTGCACTGTGTTTTCTTTTTGGGGGTCTAGTGTAGTGCGTGTATGTGTTCTTTTCTAATTTGTTCAGCTGATGGCATGTTGGATTCAAGTCATTCCAATCCCCTTGAATAAAGGAACTGCGGAGAGATTCTGGAGATTGTGCTGTGAATGAGACACAATGAGACCCTGTACTCCAACTCATCGCAAACGTGTTCATTTGCAACTGACAGAGACATAGACTCTTCTCAATTCTTGTACTTAACTGCCTAACTGCCGAAACAGGCGGCAAATTCGACAACAAAATGTCGGCCCAGTACCAAGTTGAAACCGTTTGCGGGATGTCCATGATTTTGCCCTGACCTGGTTTTGCGGATCAGGTGTTAGGTTTCCCTGAGTGAATCCCCTGAAACTGGGGAATAGAACTTATTTCCCGGTTCCTTAAGTCCCAACTCCGGTCATCAAAGGGTGGACACCCAGGACGGTCCCATCCAGTCCTGTCCTGGTTGTTCATGATTTCTGTTGTTATCATGTTTGACATTTAATTATTTTAATTCTTGGTTCACGTTGGTTATTAGTATCCTTCCTATTACATATACTACTTGCTCAATGCCAACATGATAGGAAGGATTGTTCCTGTTAGTATCATATTATTTGATTGTGTTTTTGTTCATTAAACAATTGAACATATATACATAGAAACACATTCAGAGGAGCAACTTGAGACCATGGGGCTGAGACCCCGTCATGTACTGTTGCTGCTAACAAAGCCTGCTACCCACACATGCAGACATGTTATGAGTGTGTATTTATTATGAGTGGTTTTGATTGGTTTTGTTTTGTTTACGAGTAGATTCAAAATAGATTAAGAGCATGTTTAGAGTAGATAAGATATGTCGATAGTAGATTAAGATTCACAGGGTTTGATCAGGATGACCCTCAAGTTTTTTTTTGTGAATATTATGGTATTTGTTTGTTTTGTGCGTTGTTATTATTTCCTGAGTTGTTCTTTCCTGTTGGCCGATCCACTTGTTAGGACCTCCGCATATCCAGGAGGACGAGGTGGGCACGCGGGCACGAATCGGGTTCAAGGTTCGGCAGGACACTGCTAGCAGTGACGGTGTTCCTGGTAAAAATGTGTAATTATATGTTGTTTATCTGGCCTTGGTATGTATTTCTCTACTCCAGGGACTCACAAGAAAAAAACCCAACACGGAGGTGTTTAGGTACTCTTCTTCAATAATTGAGTGTGAGCCACTCTCTTGCACGTGTGAACATGTAGAGCAGATCTTGGGAGGATTTTGTGCCAGCTCGGAAGGCATCAGGAACTTCGGAGTAAATCCTTCGGGAACAAAACAAAGTCCTCCCATCCATCATGTGTTTTTGTTTCTTTGGAGGGTGTGTGATGTGTGATGCGTTTTTGCATCTTAATTCGAGAGAGTTTACAAAAGAGCACTTTTGGTCCAGTCCAGATAGGATATCTGCCATAGTAGAGGCACCCACTACGGCAGTCATTGGTGAAGATTTCATGCTCAATTTGATAAAATGTGCAGTTGAAATCTGTCAGTGATTGGCCGACCCAGGGAGAAGTGGTGAACCTACGGGCTACAATCTTTACCAAAGAATGATTTCCCTACATTACATTTTGGTTGAAGCAGGTGTAAAGGCCTGTAAGACCAAACTCCACCAAATTGTTGAAGCAGTCCAAACTCCTGTAAAGGCAAGAAACATACATGTCCTTGAGCCATGTAGTGTCCTCAGATCTTTCCGAAAGAGGGAGAAAAGACACAACACCTGCAGACTTGTCTTGTGGATTCCCACTTGAATATCGTCTATACTTGACAATAGCCTATGGCCCAAGCGGCCCCAGTACCGGAACGCGTCCGGGGCTCTTTTTTCCACGTCGTCTCATCACCGGGACCCCCCACCGCGACAGGCCCACGTAGTGGCCCACGTCTTGGTTTCTTCCAAAGACCGCGACCGTACTCGCCAGAGAACCACCACAAATTGCGCCAACAGCTCCAATGAGTTCTCCGAGTGTTCAGACAAAAAGCTTTACCTAGCCGCTCCCATCCCAAACTACTGAGCCACCAGCCTCCTGTAGAACTGACCATTGAAAAACTGGTTGTCGCGCTGCGTCCCAACATCAGGTGGTGAACGCTTATCGCACCGCCAAAAAGCGTGCCATCTTCCTGGACAATGAAGGCAGGGGCCGGCTGCTGATGCGGTTGACGCGTCATGGAAGTGATGAAATAGAGGGACCTGGCCCATTGGCATAGTATGGCGATTGGTCAAAATGGAGCCCCAACACCATGTAGCTTGACCTTCCTATTACAAAGGTCAAGCTGGCCCCATAGCCATATGAAGTGCCTTCAACATGTGCGATGATTACGATTGCACAAGAGGGTTGCATTCATATGCGGGCATGCTCCAAACCTTGGCAAACTAGGGGACTCACCAGATGTGCGATACCCTTTTAACATCCTTTAACCAGCTTCTGAAACAGTGGAAAACCACCATGGACTATAGCTGCACATCGCATGCACATAAGGTGCCTCATGGTACCTCATTTCACTCGGCCCCACCCTGTTGTCAATCGTGCTTCGCCGATGGCGCCAGCGAACCAATCGGCAGATCCAATCCATTTCGGAGGTCCGGACCCTGAAGAGGTCCAAAGGGCCCAGTGTTCACCGCCAGAAGTGATGTGGTCCAAACCGCAGAAGGCCATGGTCGCTGGCCAAACCTCCGTCCTCCTCCGGTCTTCGACCTTCCAGGCACCATCGCCGCCAAAGCGCGATGGCAGATCCAGTGGCCCAGCGATGGTTGGAGAGAAGAAACACGAGAAATTCATTCACCAGCAGTCACAAAAGGATGCTATCCATGGAGGTTAGGGGTAGCCATTATCCACTCACTGGATGGGACTAAACACCACCCCGTCTTGTGACTCCTGGCATATAGTACTTTTGAGGCACCGAATTCACTGAGCACACGAGTGCTCCCCCCTTGCTGGTGATCAGCGGATATCAGCGGATATCATTTATTTTGGCTGTGGGTCCTTAATCCCTCCCCGGTAGTCTATATATGTTCGGTAGTCAACCAGGGTGTCCCAGTATATACCATGTACCAGGACCCACTTTCTCGTGCGCGCTTGATCTGCGCCTGCCGCTGTTTGACCAAGCCTGCGACAGCCGGGTCCAGTTCCCACATGTTCCCCTCATGTATGACAAAGCTCCAACGGTTCCAAAGACAGATGCGACAGGATCAGCCTAGGCCATTCGTGGCGTCTTTTTGGGTCCGATGGATGGGTGATGGCTGGGACTAAATGGCCTGCTGCCATGGAGTGCTTGGGTTAAAGACCAATGTAAAGGTGTGGTTTAGTGATGCAGAAGAAGAAGGAGAAGAAGAAGAATTCCTGGTCACTAGAATCACCATGAATCCTATTTGCACTGAAGTGTGCAGTGCCAAGACCTAAGGTCCGGTGGCATGATGGCTTTGCAGAAGACGCTCGTTTTTGCAGAAAACGCTCGGGTCCTGCTGCAAATGCGGGGTTTGCGGGGTTCTCAAACCCGCACTTCGCCCTCAAGCAGAGCGCAGGTTCTAACCGTCCTATCTTGAGTCGAGAAACCGGACGTTGCGACGTTGCTGTTGCTTTGATCAAGGCCGAAAGTAATGACTTTGGGTACCCGAAAAAGCAAGTGACTTCGTTCAACCAACTCTCTCCCTACTTGGGTGTTTGATCATGTGCCACAGTTTGGTAAACACCCTATGGCCCCTTTGCTGAACAAGTCTTTGCATGAAAGCAACACCTATAGAACAATCAACTTGCAGAAACCAGGCGGCTGACTTTTCCTCTCGCGTTTGCTTTATGCCAGGTGTTCAGGGGGTTCAGGGGGTTCACCTCAGAGCAACGTTTGTTTCTTTTTTCTGACTCAGATAAGATGTATCGATCGTTTGAATGTGCAAAAGGGGCGAGAAATGCCAGGTGTTAGATACTTGTGCTAGATACTCAGATCATGAACAAGGGATCACCTATTGGCGGAAGAACTATTGGGGAAAAAAGCAGCTGAGTTATATATTCACATTGGTCACCCGGAAATGAATACTTGGGGGATAACAGGTTATTCAAGTATTTTGTTAGTGTTTGAACGTTCTCCATCAACAGTATATACAGTACAGTACCAACAGGCCCTGCCAGTGTTGGAGGTCATCCCCTTCACTTGGGTGACATGGTTCCTCTCGCCATTGGAATTCGGAGCGACCGCCTTGAAGAAAAACCACGTCGTTCGAATTGGAACAGATGGGTTCGGATTCAACATGTTAGGGTTCAAAGATGGATGGATGACAAGCTCCTGTGTGTGTCATGCGTTTTGCCTTAAAGGATTGGCGCCCTGCAGAGGCTTTGGCACACACTACAGAGCACCGTGTGACTGTTCTAGCTTGCGAGACATCTTCAGACTCCAGACAAGGAGTCTTTGGTAACTCGATCGTGGCCCCAAAATCGATCTGAAAAGCAAGGCGTCCCTGTATACACGTACTGTAGATATTAATGAACAGCATATATCCATTATAACAGCATATATCATTATTTGACACAGTGTCTATCATTTTTCCGCTTTGAGGGACCACCAATTTCTTGCTCCTGCTTCCGGTCGCGCAGTCCGGTCGAAGCCTCCGCATTGGTCCGCATTCGTTCCCCGCGATGCCTTCGCTTTCCGCGCCGCGTGGAATGAGGAAAGGGCAGCCGCCAGATCCACAAGTCCTAGATTTGCTGCAAACCTTGGTGAACGACCGAGGGAACACCGTGGTGGTTGGGGCAGCCCAGAGGTTTGGGCAAGTATGTGGGATTTATGCTGCTTGATGGGTGACCTGGTCAGTTCAGTTTGCGATGTTCGGGAGGATCCGGAAGGAGAGAGCTGCTCGAGGTCCTGCTGTGAATCAATCAAACCACAATGTAATTAAAGTGTTTGATGGTGCTTGTGGCCGGGGCTGCCTTGGCTTTTCGTTCATGCTCCAAGCGCTGTTTTCAGGCTCCTCCCGGAACAATCGGAGTTATGCTATATACTCAGCGAATCTCAGCGACCTCCAATCATATCTTTGGCACCGAAATCTTCAGGACTAAAGGATTAGAGATGTGTGTGTGTGTCTTTACTTTTTAAATACAAGGTTGTATAGCTCAGTATATATAGCTACCAAGAGCATCCTGTTTTTGGGTCTCCTAGCTACCACTCCCCAGCCCACTTCTTGTTTTGGATCTCCGGACTGGAGTGTGTGTGTGGGTACCACAGTGACGACGCCCACCACACCCACTCGCCGGACCGGAGCGTAAGCAGGTCTTGAGCGGGCGCACCAAGGAGGTCATGGAGGACAGAGGGGACAGGCCCTTTGCTCCTAGTAGCGTCCTTGTTACTAGTAGTACGGCCAGGAGCCTGTAGTAGCGTCCTTGCTCCCAGTAGCGATGCCCTTTGCTCCTAGGATGAGGATTTGGACAGAAGACATACCAGGATCCTTCAATGGGTGTCCAATGCAGGTCCAAGTCCAAGCAGTGTAGGGCCTATGTAGGATATATAGTCTATTGAACACCCAGACAGGATGACCCTGGTAGGTAATAGGGGTGTCCAGTTGACTGCCAGGACGTTCAAAGTGGCCTTTTGATATCCCAGGATGAGGTCACTTAAGCCCGTACAAGGTCGCTTAGAGACTCCAAAGAGGCCACTGTGAATGTCCTGGTGATCTCAGTCAGTTTGAACATGCGGAACAGGAGAACATGTCCGGTGCAGGAAGTGTCAGGTACTTGGTGAACAGGAACCACAGGTGACCGGCTGGATGTGTTAAGGACCTCCAGTCTCATGTAGTCCTCACATAGGCGCCTATATTTTATATATATATATACAGTAGGTGCTCTATGTTAGACCCACTTGTATTTTTGTCCTGTGGAACCCACTCTAAAGTCCACTTTCAGTCCGCAACTTCCAAATGAACGATGACGTCGTGTTCCTTCTTCGATTCAGCCAGTCGGCTTCCAGTTGGGGTTCTGAAAGGAACACCTCTCTTCACCAGTTGCGAACAGCCAGGGCCGGCCAGGCCCCGACTCGGTGCCGCTCGCGTCCGCGTTCGCCGCGTCGTCGCCAGGAGTGGTTCAGCTGCGTGGATGGCTTGGGACTCTGTGCCGAGCATGGCTTTCACCGATGGCCACCGCGCTCGCTCCAGGGCGACGGCTTTGGTGTGGGATGGAGGCGTCGGGAGCCGTGGAGGACGCGTGTTCGGCGGACGGCGAACAGCGGAAGGAGGCGTGTTTCACGTGCAGGGACCGTTCGGCAGGCCCAAATTGGGTGTGGACCGCAGCAGGTTCACACCAGGGGCAGGATGGGGTTATTCAAGGCCTGGGAAACATGAGCGTCTCGCTGCATGAAGCGCAATTTGTCCCCATACATGTATGTATACAGCTTTATTGTATTTCATTTCTTTTGGTTGCCACCAAGTGCACAGTTTACAAAGCTGCAACATCCCCAGGACTTGAGCCCATCTACTTTCGGTGGAGGGCAATAACCACAACATACCATAACCAATCATAACCATGTGATGCATGTTGTGTTCATTGCTTAGCAGCTTGGAAAAGACTGCATCCAATTGAACCAAATGAGTGATATATGGCGTCATTATGCGTTACTGTATGTTACTATATATTTACCATACGGCCTCAGGTGACGAGGATCTTCCACTCTCTTCCGCACTGAGGCGCCCCCCCCCACACCGCTTCACCACACGTTCGCCGCGGGGCGCCAGGTCCGAAGGCCTTTCGGACGATAACCAGGAGTGGAAGGCCCAGCGGACGACACGCACGAACACACACACACAGCTCTCTCCATCGTGTGTGTCGTGGGGCAACAGGATCCAGGAATGAAGGGGCTGTAGAGGGAGTTCTCCAATCACCGACTTGGTGAAGATTCTCGGAGCTGGAGCTGGAGCTGGATCTCTAAATCGAACCTTGAACAGGTGAAGCATGGTGAACATGAACTTCGCCAGATCACATCCACCAGACGTCTTATCAGTTGTAAATGCTCTAAAATTCCCAACGTTGAGGAATTTGGCTCAGGTTCTCAATCCCTCACTCTCCCAAGTCTCTCCCTCACAGGATTGTTTCATCTCCCTCAAACATCCTCGTCAATCGGTTCCACCACGGCATTGCGGCATTGCTCCGCATACTTGGCACGATCGGCGCGGCAGAACTTGGCCATCGAGTTGATCCAGCAATATGTGCGGCGCATCCAGGGCTCCATCCTCGAAGCCAAGGCACCATCGAAGCAACCGCGTTCGCGACGCGACGCGAGCGGCAGCGATCGTGCCACGGCTGCGGTGGCTCACTTGGTGTATGGAGGTTGACACGTGAAAACAGCTTTCTGTGGCACAAATGGAAGGTTGGAGGGTTTTGGGCCAGGTTTTGGAGTCATTTGAATTCAGCTTTTGGAGTGTGGCACGGAGTCTTCCAATCTTGGCTCCAGGGTCTCTTTGGGCCCTGAAGGAGGGCCTTTCTGGGTCGTAGCAGACGTCGACAGGCCTGTGCCATCAGCTGGAACTATCGAGAGGTGGGGGCCCTGGCGCTGGATTGTTGAAGCGTTCGTCGACAGTTTGGAGAGTGTGTAGTGAGATTCTGCAGACAAGAATATGGAGGTTTAACTTCTTTTAACGTGTTGTTCCTGAAGCTAGGCTTCTCTTGGTTTGTTTGGTTTCCTCTAAACATGCAGGAAAGAATACACACATCTCCAGGACACACGTTTCTTCGATGTATCCTTACTGCCTTGCTGGTCCACTAAAGGCTTTTGTGGATTCTCTACCCAGTTACCACTATAGCTGGTAACCAGTGGTTCCAAAAACTTAAACCATAGACTTAGAATCCCTGGTTCTATAAAGGTAACTGGGATCCACTGGGCTCTACATCATCCACTGGGATCCACTGGACCATTTTGCTGCGGATCGGATGAAGCAAGATCCACAATGGCCAATGGCAGTTTGAGCAATTTAGCCAGACGCCCTCGTACATCTTGGCCGAGTAACAGGAAATCTGTTTGCCGTGTTGGGAGAATAAAGACCCTCTAAACTCTAGATGTGAGATGGACGAAGGATGTCACATGCTGATCTCAAACTCCGTGTGAGGTACTGGCTGGTTGATTCTTTTCTGTCGGAGAAAACGCCCTCAATTGACTTGATCAACCTCAACCTCATGTTCCCTCAATCAAAAAAACCTCCCAGACGAGTACTGGCTGCATCACCCCTGAGGAACATATTTTTTCAGATCACCGGGCAACATGACATGTAAACATATATATATATATAGAATGCATGTGTGTTCTTGAGATACTGAGGTGTACCATGGTGTACCCCTCCCTCTCAATATCTATTCAATTCGCAGAAACGTCATGAAACCACCCACCCGTCCGGTCGATCAAGTTCGTGGAAGACGTTTTCTGCCGTTCAGTAGGCAGGCAATAGGGGGCTGTGGAAGTCTCGTGGTTGGGAGGCCAAGTCTTGGTAACAGCTCGGTCCTCTTTCTTTCACCACGAGGCCTCTCCCACCGAGCCTCGGGTTCTTCCTCTCTTCCTCGCAGAACATATGGCGCCATGACGTCGAAACTAGGTGGGTGCAGCTGGTGTGATCGATGACGTGGCCTTGGAATTGATGAGGTGGGGGAGGACATGCCATTTACATCTACGTTGCACCTGCTCCCCATGTGTCCGGTTGAGGTGCAGAAAAAACTCCGGGTTGATTATCCAGATAATGGAACATGCTCACTTACGCGGCACCTTACACTCCCTGAAACACTCATGGTTACGTGGATGGCCTGGCCCCTGGAAAGAGCATGTTCCGCAACATACACTGGATTGTCCACTTCCATGTTTGCGGGAGGGGGGCATTATTTTGAATTATATAGTTATGAATCAGTTGGGGTCTGTGACGAGGTCAAGACATGGATAGGACTGGATATGGAGGTAACTCTGCATACTCAGGACTACAGACTGACTGTATCATCTCTTACCTCTGCAAAATCTCCATAGTTATTGTCATATTGTAGTAGCTTACTATATCGATGGATAAGCCTAGCCTCCCGGAGCCTTGGAAAACATCAATCAGTCAAGAACAGTTACCTATTTGTTTGATTATGTTTGCCCTATATAGTTACATTAGTTACCTACTGTTGCCAACTGTTGATCAACAACATCAACTTGGCCACTAGTGACTAGACCAGACCCCTAGTGGCCCTAGTCAGCACTGCCAATTGAATTGTTGTTGTTGTTGTTGTTGTTGTTGTTGTTGTTGTTCTTGTTCTTGTTCTTGTTCTTGTTGTTGTTGTTGTTGTTGTTGTTGTTGTTGTTGTTGTTGTTCCCGCGCACCCAAAAAACCATCAACACCCAGAAAGCTCCCCGTTTCGCTTGGCAGCGCCCGGGCTGCGCCGCGACGCCAGGTTCTTGGACCCGGACAGTCCCAGTGGCTTGCTCCATGGCTACCCAGTAGCTCGGAGAGAACGGAAGGACTGGTGGATGCAGGGGTCGCGGGGGTTTGGACACACATTAAAAAATATCATAATCAAACCTGGCAGAGGCCTGGGTCTGTGCAGAATTGGGCAGAAGACCTGGCCAGCCTTTGAAGAGGGCATGCAAGAGATTTGCGTTCAAGCGAACCACATCAGAGCAACGTGTCATCCTGTGTCATGCTGTGTCATCCGAGCAACTCATTCGATCGGACCAAGGGGGTCGGACACATCGACTGAGTCGGACACAGCGAGCTGGGATCAGTCGAGGCCATATGGGTCACTTCAGAGGCCAGAGGCCATATTAGCACCCCAGAGGTGAAAGGACTTGCTATGCAATTGGATCATTTAGGATCTTTTCAAAGAGACCTTCTCTGTCAACCAACCCTTCTCGACACGTCGGGGCGTTCGGAGGACGTCGGGTGAAGACTTAGGTGAAGGTCTTCATGGGCAAGGGCTATGTTGAGGTCAAGCGTGCGGATGTCGATAAGGCCCGATAGTTTTTTTTGGGATCACGGCGGTCTATCTGGGTTTTGGAGGTGTCGACCAGGTCGCCGTTTTTTTCGCCTCGCTTGTTCATTGATCGTTTTTGCATAGCGGATCAGGTGGATCCACTTGGCAAAAACAGGTGCCTCTGGGAGGGCATGCCGACCAGAAGTAACTTGAAGGAACAGGTCGATGCATGTCGATGCATTGCATTGCATGAGCTTTTGACCTCGGCCCAGCGGTTTGGGTGGTTTGCAAGTTCGAATTTGAAGGGCTCTTGGGCATCGAAGATCTGAGGATGGGATTCCAAGATTCGGATGGACTCCTCGGAAAGAAGCCGGGCACTGGTCCACTGCTCGTTCGGGTTCGCCATTGTTCACTGCAAGAAATGGCATGGAGTCGGGCCAGAAAGCGGCGAAACTTCGCACTACACTCATAGAAGAAGATGCAGAAAGCACTGGAAATTGAATGGATATTCTATAGAGTGGGAAACAAAGTACAACTAGGTCAACCTTAAGTGGTTTGGCTTGGCGCTGGATGATCCTGAACATACTGAGTTTTTGGTCCTCCAACTGCCACGCAACGCCCCATTCTTCAGTGCTTCTTTGAAGAACGGTCACCGGTAACCTCCGCCGCCCAAGATCCCATCCATATAGATATAATGATATAATAGAAGGCAAGACCATTTTTGCCCTTGCCAGGGCGCCGCTTGCGTCAAGACCTTGGAGGACTCGTTGTTGGCGTTCTCCGATGCGCAAAGGGGAAGGCACGTACTATACTGGTACTTGAAGAAGCCTGGAGCCTGATTTGGTTCTGTGCATCCCCTGTATGATCTGTGGATCCCATGGATTTCCATGCTTTCAGTGAGCAGATGCGAGCAGGTATCCCTGACTGATTTCTTTTGCCCAGAACCCATTGGCTCGTGCTTTGATATAGGAAAAGAGCAACATAGAGGTCTGTCAGGTTCTAGGTATCTACACCATGCTCTACCTACCTGGGATTTTTCTGAGCTCTTATCACACGATTGTTGTCGTTGCACTGCCCAGAAATGGGTGTTTGCGACCTTGGAGACTCTAAGCCGACTCGGTGGTGGTTCTTCGCTGACCCCTGCAAGAGTCAGCTTCGGTCACGTGAAGATCCACGTTTGCCTTGTTCACCGGGCTCGTGCGAGTTCGCTGTTGTGAGGTCCCCAAGTCAAGTGAGTCGACCTGGAGCCTCCAAGAGGGTGTCTCAATCGCAATCCCTAAGTAGTGAAGGGTAGTCCAGGGTGAGACGTTTGGAAACCCAGACAGGATGGTGGTGGTAATGTGTGGTATATAAGTCAGATCAATGACACCCACCTCAGTGAGTTCATCAATGACACCTCAGCCAACCGAAGGAGATGGGTTCGGTCGACTTCGTCCTCTGTGTGGGCGATGACACCTCGGACGAGGACATGCGGCTCGGAGAAGAAGAAGTCATACACCCCGTGGAGCCATCCAAGGGGGGCTGGAGTGGAACTTAGGGCCCCCCCCAAAAGGGTCCCCCCTGAGCTCTTGAGCTTTGAATGTCTTTTGTTTGTAGGACTTCGAAAGGGGATGTGGCGACCTAAGTATCTTGAGCGAACTGGCATTTGGTTGTGCTGTTTTCGGGCATTGCTGTTGGGCCATTCAAGCAAAAGACCGATCGCACCTCCCCCCCAAAAAAATCTCACCGATCGGTGGCTCGTGATCCGGATCACCCCTGGACCGGATGGTTCAGTGGCCATTCTTGTAATGGACACCCCCATGGCCCCCGGGGCGGTTGTACTCCTGCTTGGCCCATCGCCGTTTTCGCTGGTGACCGCGGTCGCCTCTGGCCGGGTCGGCGAATGGAACCGACTGAGGTTCCAGGCGGTGAACCGCTACTTCCAAGCCAAGGCGGTGGGGTTTGGTGACGCGGGGCGTCACCGGAGGACTCTGGTTCGGGGAGGTTTCTTAGAGTGATGCCATTGTGGAGATTGGAAGTCGGTTTGGAAGAAGCCATCCATGACATGAATGGTGTAATTATGTCCATGCCATGAATGATTGGGCAGGTGAGGAAGAACAAGTCCAGCGATTATAGCCGACCACAATATGCTAGCCTGTCCGTATATGCAAGAAAAGACTATATAGACCCCCAAATAGATAGAACAGTAAATCCCCACTAAAAATGTATCGGACACCGTTTCTATCTATTTTGGGATCACTATAAAGAGTTCGGTCATTTACAGTGTTGGCGGCGTGGTCCTTTCAGAAGAACGATTGAATTTGGCTAACACAATGCACACAAAAACACCCAAAACGAGACAAATCGAACACGTAACATGACGCTGTTGTTTTTTGTCTTTTTTGGGGGTGATTCTTGAGTTCAGCGACTTGAGCTGGTCAATAGCGTTTACAGTCACATGTTAGACCACCAGGCAAACGTGGGAGGTTCCCCCCACCAGTCTGTGGGCCGCCCGTGAACCGACCTCTTCAGGGAGATGTGGGAGGGCTCTCCAGCGCTTTATCCCAGAGCTCCATGGGCTTCAAGAAGAGCGGCTGTGGGCCACTTGGGCTGCACCGAGAAGAAAAAAGCATCAGTTTGATGAAACATGATGAAATAGGATGAAACGTTAACAAAGAGAAACACTTCCACGCTCACTGAGTAGAAGTACCAAGCTCTTAGGAGCATCCAGGACCCAAATGAACTCCAGAACAGTTGAAGAAGAATCGGAGCTTGCAAAGAATGGAGCGAACATCAATCTGAATCGAGGAAGATCAATGTCTTTAAACCCCCACCAAGAATGGCTTCAAGAGGTTCCCATGATGGTTCACAGCTTCGCCCGCCGAGGTCCTTGGCCTCCTTGGATGGCCTGGACGTCTCGCCGGCGGAGTCCCCAAGGAACTCGGTGTCGCCCAAGGAGCGGGCGGGCGGTGCAACGAGGAAACTTGGTTTTTGGGTGTTGGACTTACAATGACTTCCTTTAGCATCAAACAAAAAGCTTATGTGTAGAAGATGATGCTAGAAGATTGAGTAGAAGATGGTAGAAGGTTTAGAAGGCATGTTGAAGCCAAACGCGGCCTATAGTTTATTTATTCACTTTTTCTTCACATGTTTTATGACCGCTGGTTTGACGCTGAGTTGGTCTTCGGACTGTGGGGGCAAGAAATCAATAATATACAATAATAAAGAAGTCAAGTCTCATGAGCTGCAATCACATAAAGATACGAAAAGGTCCAATAGGGAGCCTGTGAAAGAAAGCTGTAACAATCAGAAACGCATTGCCGCATTGTCTCAACACGCCGATCAGTAACGCTCGTGTCTCCAAACACATGGTCCCTGAGGTCCCTGGTCCATACCCTATTCCTGGAGTCCTGGGGAGTGTCTCACCCGGCACCGCCGCGCCAGGATCGGCCCCGGCCGCCTCCGCGCGTGGCCTTCACCGAAGACTCCGTCTCGGCCGCGGTCTCGGCGATGTGGGCCGAAACGGTTGAAACGGGTTTTGGGTGGTTTAAAAGTAAAATGAGTATAGCATAGTATAGCTAAATAGTTGGTGTCAAGCAAAGCGGACTGAGGTTCGGATCCGTGAGGGTGTTTTTTGTGCTTTGGAAGGATCTTTTCTGTGTGAAGGTTTTGGACTTATGCCTTATGCAAATGATTGATCGTGATTGCAGATTATAACGTCGGGTTTCGGCATGCACAAACTGTGGAAAGGGTGGTGTCACCTCCTTGAGGGCCCTGCTGTTGTGATTTGTGATTTGTTTCATTCTTGTCATATCCTTTCATGAACTAAATCAGGTTCAAGGAATATGTTTCTCAGCATGTCTTTGCCAGGAACTTGGCCTTCCTGTCTATTTCCAGTCTATTTTCCATGTAGCTTGGGTCCTCAAGACAGAACATCAACAAACAAGTGTAAACCTTCTGAGCCGACCGATCAAGCCGCTGAGGAGTTGCCGCTCTCCGCAAACTCTCCCATTATGCGGACGCAGGCGACATGGTGGAGACCGCGGGCACGTGCTGGGCATCCGTGGGTGTTTATCATCATTTTGTTCTTCTACTACAGGAAAAACATGGAAAAAACAGTATACAATATTCCAGGACCCTCCATCGCTACAAAAATTTTTGGCGATGTGGTCATTCGTATAGAAAACTGGGATATCGATACACAATCTCCAATTGCATGATCCATTTGGGGTCTCGAGCACTTCCTGCCACTTCGAGCAATTTTGTCATTTGAATTCATTTGAGGTTTCTTGTGCAAGACCAACTTGCCATGTCAATCCAATCTAGCCATTGTGGCTCTTGATTTAGTGGCACTGGCCCTTTTTCAATCCTCGATCCTCAAGTGCGCAGTTGGTTGTATGTGATGTGTGCACAGATCCTGAGCTTAAAGAATGAAGTGTCCATACCTTGGCCCCACAGGTACTTGACTGAGGAATGGGGTCTATGTGAGCCAGGTACGCTACCTCACTTGCCCTCGATCTGTTGGTGGGGGGTCACTGGGGTGGTGTCAATGGCCACATGATTGAATTGACATGTGCACACCGATGGCTATGTCGTGTTTCTATGTGTTTCTTGCCAGTAGCATTTTGCTCACTTACAGCTAGCTAAGCTAGGCTGCAAAGTATACCTGATGTGCTCACCTGTTTGTGATGACTGGGCCAAGAGCGAGACGCTCATATCCAGGGCTGGCTCTGGACGTCTTGTGTTGGCCCCCAATGACAAATTGGGGCGTGAGGACTTAGTGACAAATGAGGAGGTGGTCTCCGCAATCCTGAAGCATCTGGGTGTACGTACTACAATCGATCAGATTAATGAACATGTGGAGCTTTTCTTCAGCTTCTCGCGGCCAAAGGGCAAGCCTGCCTTCAGCCGTTCCATGTCTTCATATGGAAATTGATGTGCATATGTTTCACTTATGTACGATGCATGTACATGGTGTGAATGGAACTATAGCTATCAGTTTGGGGCAACTAAGGTGCTGTGATTCGGACCCAGTCCTGGATAATCAAGCGACTGGTGAGCATCTTCAGCAGGTGTTGCAAGCGGGGCCATTTTCCCCGGGAGCAAGCTATCCGACGAATCTACCTGGCTGCTGGTATCCCATTGCCCTCTGACCCTCGTTGCTTGACCATTGTGGCAGTCATGCAAAGTGTGATGAACGTTCTTATACCCCGATTTTATACAAACAAATATATTGGCCAATGTTCTTCATTGAGGTCACATGGATGAGGAACCTGAGGAGTCCGAGAACTCTTGCTCTGAGGGTGAAGAAAGCAGCCATGTCACAGAAGTTGCCTGGCTACACTTGGCTTATCTTCAAATGGTTTGGGAACCAGGCTGACTGACATACTTTTGAGTCATATGTGTCTAGATTTCAATTTGGATTACCTTGGATGAGTTTACCAATTCCTGCTTCGACTTAGGATACGGAAATTGAGCCTGAGGAGTCTGTCCATGCCCCAACCCCTCCTGGTCCTGAAGGCAGGCTGTGATGTCACCATGTCCCGGCCATATGAAGCTTCCAAGATGCCCAGCTCTTTTGCAGGTGTTGGTGAAGTTCCCAAAGTTCCTGTGGACGTCGGCCTTGGTGTCAGCAGGCGCACGCCAGACCAGGTTGAGGAGATGTCAGTGACCAGTTGGATCACACCACCTCCTAGGGGAAACTCTTTTGCACTTAAGATTAAAAGTGCAAACTGCAGTCATACTTGATTTCAAAGGATTTCAGTTTCCTTGATCACGCTTGATCCAAGTAAGTCACTTACTAAGGAATGCCTATGGAAGTGCCAAGCCCCGAGAAGGACCCAATCAAAAGGAAACTGTTGTTTTCACCTGGTTGGCCTGACGAATTGGAATCCATCATGAAAGAGTCAACCGAGATTCATTGGCAGGTCCTGACCAACTCCGGCCAGACATTTCGTCTTGGTCATGGCACCAATGACTTGCCTTCAATTCCACAACCCGCAGACTTTCCTTTGACCATTGAACCAGTTTCTGAAGTCACACTCATGACAGAGGAATTGGAACGGCTTTCGTTGGAAGAGTCTCTTTTGGAGGAACAGCTTTTTCTTGCCCAGTTGGAAGAGCAGGAAAAAGAAATGCTAGCCATGCAACAGGCTGAGGAGAAGCATTTATTGAATTCTACCATGTCGGCTTCCAGCAACCTCGCTCCATCTGAAATGTTCAGTATCTTGGTTGCTTTATTTTGGAAAGATTTGGGGGGAAACTCATGTGCAAATTATATCAAATTGTATGAACTGCAAACGATCATGCGCTCACATGGTGGCCCCAAGCACGATCATAGGGCAAACAGGGTGGCCTGCTCTCGACCAGCCTTTCCGCTGCCCAAGGTCCAGACATTGTGGAGACTTTGCCATTTGAAGCGACCTTGGTCATGGAAAACACTGACTTCAAAGATCCGGACTGGGCGATGTGGGATATGGGTCTTTGCCATTTTTGGTCATTGAAAGAATCGTTGAAATTCTAACTATGACATGGGTCCCTGTGGATGGTCCTGTCTAGATATGCATTTGGAATCATGAAATGTCTCTGGATGAATATTCCCCTTGATGGATGTTCGTGGACTTGATCGTTTCAGGAGCCATTGCCCTCGGAACAGCCAAAGACCTTTGCGAGCCTCCTTGGCAAGTCAGAGGGAAGTCGAACCCTGGTTTATGGGGAAGCTGAAGGGGATTCAGCACCACCTAGCCCACCCAAAGATCCCACAGGGGAGTTCAACCCGTCAGTGATCAGGATGATCATTGATGCAGGCTTCAGCAAGGATGAAGCAATAGCAGCACTGAAGGCCAATAGGGGTGATGCTGTCAAGGCCATTGAAGCTCTTGAAAAGCCCAATGATCTCGGTTCAGACAGACCTCCTGTGTTGGACAATGTGACTGCAATGTCAGCTACAGAGCAAGCAAAGCTGACTGAGGGATCAAAGAAAGGGCGCGGTCGTGGTCGTGGTCGCGGCAAGGGCCGCGGGAGAGGAGCAAGAAGGTCTAAGGGTGAATCCTCAGACTCGGATTCAGGTGAAGAGGGAGAAGGTGAAGGTGAAGACAGTCAGGAAGAAGCTGAGCCAAAAGATGAGAGAAGCAGCAGCAGGAAAAGAAGTGCCAAAGGTGAGAAACCTGAGGTCGGAGGTAAGAAGGCAAAGACATCAAAGCCATCTCCTGCAGCTGAAGCTGAGAAGAAAAGCAAGGGCGAGGAAGAAGAGAATGAAGATGAGGCTGAGGAAGAGGTGGAGGAT